TTCATTTTCATTTGTTTCTGTGCATATCTTGATTTCTTTTTTGTTTTCTTCTGTGATTTGTTGGTTATTCAGAAGTGTGTTGTTTAGCCTCCATATGTTTGTATTTTTAATAGTTTTTTTTCCTGTAATTGACATCTAATCTTACCACATTGTGATCACAAAAGATGCTTGAGATGACTTCAGTTTTTTTGGATTTACCAAGGCTAGATTTATGGCCCATAATGTGATCTGTCCTGGAGAAGGTTCTGTGTGCACTTGAGAAAAGGGTGATATTCATTGTTTTGGGGTGAAATGTCCTATAGATATCAATTAGGTCTAACTGATCCATTGTATCACTTAAAGTTTGTGTTTCCTTGCTAATTTTCTGTTTAGTTGATCTATCCATAGGTGTGAGTGGGGTATTAAAGTCTCCCACTATTACTGTGTTACTGTTAATTTCCCCTTCATACTTGTTAGCATTTGTCTTACATATTGCAGTGCTCTTATGTTGGGTGCATATATAATTGTTATATCTTCTTCTTGGATTGATCCTTTGATCATTATGTAGTGTCCTTCTTTGTCTCTTTTCACAGCCTTTACTTCAAAGTTATTTTATCTGATAAGAATATTGCTACTTTTGCTTTCTTTTGGTCTCCATTTGCATGAAATATCTTTTTTCAGCCCTTCACTTTCAGTCTGTATGTGGCCCTAGGTTTGAGGTAGGTCTCTTGTAGACAGCATATATAGGGGTCTTGTTTTTGTATCCATTTAGCCAGTCTTTGTCTTTTGGTTGGGGCATTCAACCCATTTACATTTAAGGTAATTATTGATAGTATGATCCCGTTGCCATTTGCTTTGTTGTTTTGGGTTTGAGTTTATAAACCTTTCCTGGGTTTCCTGTCTAGAGAAGATCCTTTAGCATTTGTTGAAGAGCTGGTTTGGTGGTGATAAATTCTCTGAGCTTTTGCTTGTCTGTAAAGCTTTTGATTTCTCCTTCATATTTGAATGAGATCCTTGCTGGGTACAGTAAATTAGGTTGTCAGTTTTTCTCGTCCATCACTTTAAGTATGTCCTGCCATTCCCTTCTCACCTGAAGAGTTTCTATTGAAAGATCAGCTGTTATCCTTATGGGGATTTGCTTGTGAGTTATTTGTTGTTTTTCCCTTGCTGCTTTTAATATCTGTTCTTTGTGTTTGATCTTCCTTAATTTGACTAATATTTGTCTTGGGGTGTTTTGCCTTGGGTTTATCCTGTTTGGGACGCTTTGGGTTTCTTGGACTTGGGTGGCTATTTGCTTCCTGCATTTTAGGGAAGTTTTCAACTATTACCTCCTCAAGTATTTTCTCATGGCCTTTCTTTTTGTCTTCTTTTTCTGGGACTCCTATGATTTGAATGTTGGGGCATTTAACATTGTCTGAGAGGTCTCTAAGGTTGTCCTCATTTCTTTTGATTCTTTTTTCCTCTCTACTTCATTTATTTCCACCATTCTATCTTCCACCTCACTTATCCTATCTTCTGCCTCAGTTATTCTACTGTTGGTTCCCTCCAGAGTGCTTTTGATCTCTGTTGTTGCCTTATTCATTATTGATTGACTGTTTTTTATTTCTTCTAGGTCCTTATTAAACTTTTCTTGCATCTTCTCAATCCTCATGTCCAGACTATTTATCTCCATTTTGTTTTCAAGATTTTGGATCATTTTTACTATCATTATTCTGAATTCTTTTTCAGGTAGACTCCATATATCTCCTCCTCTTTGGTTTGGTAGGCTTTTACCATGTTCCTTTACCTGCTGGCTATTTCTCTGCCTTTTCATCTTTTTTTAGGTTGCTGTGTTTGAGGTGGCCTTTCTGTATGCTGGTAGTTTGTGGTTCCTCTTTTTTTTTTTTTTTTTTTGTGGTTCCTCTTTATTGTGGAAGTTCCTCCCTGTCGGTGGGGTTGGACAAGTAGCTTGTCAAGGTTTCCTGTTTAGGGAAGCTTGCATCGGTGTTCTGGTGGGTGGAGCTGGATCTCTTCTCTCTGGAGTGCAATGGAGTGTCCAGTAGTGAGTTTTGAGGTGTCTATGGGTTTGGTGTGACTTTTGGCTGCCTGTAATTTTGTGCTCAGGGTTATTTTCCTGCATTGCTATAGAATTAATTTGGTATGTCTTGGTCTGAAACTTGTTGGCTTTTGGGTGTAGCTTGGTTTCAGTGTAGGTATGGAGGCTTTTGGATAAGCTCTTGTCGATTAATGTTCCCTGGAGTTGGGAGTTTTCTGGTGTTCTCAAGTTTTGGCTTTCAGTCTTATGCTTACAGTAGCCTCAAGACTTCTCCATCAATACAACACCAATGAGAAAACATCTAGGTTAATGGTGAAAAGTTTCTCCACAGTGGGGGACACCCAGAGAGGTTCACAGAGTTACATGGAGAAGAGAAGAGGGAGGAGGGAGAAAGAGAGGGAGAAAGAAAAGGAGGAGAAGAGGGAGAATCAAAAGGGGTGAGAGCAATATAGCCAGTAATCAATTCCCTATTTGCTCTCCACAGTCTGGAACACTCAAAGAGGTTCACAGAGTTCCATAGGGAAGAGAAAAGGGAGGAAGGAGATAGAGGTGACCAGGAGGTGAGGATGGGGAGTCAAAAGGAGAGAGGCCAGTCTAGCCTGTGATCAGTTCCGTAAGTGTTCTCCACAGCCCAGAACCCCCAAAGAAATTCACAGAGTTAAGTACAGAAGAGAAGGGGGAGGGAGGAGATAGAGGTGACCTGGGGGAGAAAAAGGAAAATCAAAATGGGAGAGAGCAATCAAGCCAGTAATCACACTCCTAAGTAAAAATGGGTACTGAAGATTGGATTTTTAAAGGTACAGAACTGATAACAAATACCAAAAAGCAAAGATTAAAAATCTAAAATAGAGGTTAGGCTCTCAAAAATACAATATTTAAAAAAAAAAAACTCGCAAAAGTTATAAAAAAATATTTGAAATTTGCTTTAAAAATAGGGTCTTTTTCTTTTTTGCATGGTAATAGGTTTTAAAATGAAAAAGTAATAACTTAAAATTTTTTTTAATTTTTTTAAATTAAAAAATGATAATAGTAAAATATATCTAGGAATTTCTCTGGAGCTGTTGAGGGCAGTGTGGGGTCAGTTCAGTTTAGATAGTTCCTTGTTCCAGCTTTTACTTCTTCTCAAGTCTATATGTCCCTTCCAGTGTAGCCAATGCTAACTACAGGGTTTTAATCTGTTGCACCTGTCACTTCCAAAGCGGTTCCCTCTTTGTTTATTTTGGCTTCCTCGGTTTGCAAGTCTCTTCAGTATCTAACTTCTGCCCTGACACAAAGGTGGTCACTTATTTAGGCTTACTTGTTCAGTTGTGCTGCAGGGAGGAAGGAACACTGCAAACAGATGTCACTGGCGTGTGTGGGGAGTGCTCGCAGTGACTGGGCCGCAATGGGTTTGCCCCGCTCATGGCGTGTGTGCCTTCCCTGTCTACACTGCTCAGGCTCCAGGCTGCTCTGCAGGAGCACTGTCTAAGGTGGGCCCTGGGTTGCGTGCACTCAGGTTCAGGTCCTCGGGTACTCCACAGAGGCGCAGATTTGGTTGGGCCTGCGTTTTGTGCCCTTCCCAGGTCCCAGCAGCTCAGGCGACCAGGTGCTTGGCCAGCGCACTCTCCCCAGGTGCGGTGCGTCTTATCACCTCCCCCATCCCAGCCGCTCAGTCTCCTGGGTACGCAGCGGGAGCGCCGTCTCAGGTGTGCTGCATTTCTCCTCCAGTGTCTCAGGTGTGCTGCATTTCTCCTCCAGTGTGACCCTCCTGGCAGATGTCTACCATCCAGGATCCCAGGAAGACTTGGTTAGCATGTGGGAGCCTGTCAGGAAGCCTGTCCTGAATATTCAGGAATTAAGAGGAGAGGCATGCCTTTCCCGGGGGGAGGAATCCAGGCATTTTTCATTATGGTGATAAGTACCCTCTTCCTTCTTATGAGCCATATGGTAAAAGGTGATTGTTTGCAACTCTCTTTGATAGGGATCATCTTACGTTTTGTAAGTCTGGAATTTTAATCTTTATCTTTGCTGAGAATAACTACCTTGTAAGACAGTATATATGCACACACCATGTTGATTAAAACACCTTTGCTCCATGAGAGCTTGGGTCCCCGTGTCTTTCTTTCCTTCTATTCTTTCTCTATTTCTGGCTAATTCCTTGGAGCACGGAGGCCCGCTGAGCTCACTTTGTTGCCCGGGCTTCTAAGACTCTGTGCCTTCACCCACTCGAGAGGGCGCCTGGTGCCTATGTGCAGCAGCGCGAACCCTAAGAATAGGACTCTATTGGCTTTCCGCATAAACCAGGGGATATCAGCCTCTCTCTCTCTCTCTCTCTCTCTCTCTCTTACTTTCTTATCGTTGACTCGGGACCACAAGGTTCCGGTCCATTAAAGGACCAATAGGAGCGTGCTCGCAGTTTGGTAGAGGATGCCCCTTGCCTTCCGGCTCTGACTGTCGCCTGCCCGCCTCCCTGCCTTCGGCGGGGGATGGGCCAGTCTGCTGCTGGCTAGCTCTCCCCTAGTATTGTCAGTCCTTTGTTCTGTGAGCGGGCCGGCAGTGCCTTAGGTTAGAGCTTTTCCAGGCAAAGTTTTCTCTCTCTCTTGCCTCTTTTTTTTTTTTTTTTCCCCTCTCTCTGGCTATCCCACGATTTGGGTTGCTGTCTCACATTAGCTCCTTCAGATAGCCCTCAGGGCATTCAGGCCCGGTCCTTACTCTAAGCAATGCAGCCCACGCCTCCCTATTCAGCCCCCGCTTGCTGGTGGTGGACACAAGCATCTGGGCTACTTCTCTGCTGGGAGTTGCAGTTAGGTGCATAATCTGTGGGTTTTACTTATTTATTTTTTTCCTCCTGGTTATGTTGCCCTCTGAGATTCCAAAGCTCCCCACAGACCCGGTGAGAGGGTTTCCTAGTGTTTGGAAACTTCTCTTTTACGACTACCTCCCCGGGACAGGTCTCAATCCCTAACTTTTGTCTCTCTTTTTATCTTTTATATTTTGTCCTACCTACCTCCTTTCGAAGACAATGGGCTGCCTTTTCTGGCTGCCTGGTGTCCTCCGCCAGTGTTCAGAAGTTGTTTTGTGGTATTTGCTCAGCATTCAAATGATCTTTCAATGAATTTGTGGGCGAGAAAGTGGTCTCCCTATCCTATTCCTCTGCCATCTTAGGACCACCCCATTCCTTTTTTTTCCTAAAAAATTTTAGTTTCATTTTTATTGCCTATCTATTACTCTTACTCTACTCCATACAGTCAAAGCTATGGTTTTTGGCAGCAGTCATATATGAATGTGAGAGTTAGACCATAAAAAAGGCTGAGAGCCAAAGAATTGATGCTTTTGAACTGTGGTGCTGATGAAGATTCTTGAGAGTCCCTAGGACAACTAGGAGTTCCTAAAGGAAATCAACCCTAATATTCCCTAGAAGGACTGATGCTGAAGCTGAAGCTCCACACTTTGGCCACCTGATACAAACAGCCAGTTCATTGGAAAAGACCCTGATACTGGGAGATACTGAAGGCAGGAGGAGAAGGGAGTGACAAAGAAGGAGATGGTTGGATGGCATCCCCAAATCAATGGACATGAGTTTGAGCAAATTCCAAGAGATTGTGAAGGACACAGAAGCCTGGCGTGCTGCAGTCTTTGGGGTTCGCAAAGAGTCAGACATGACTTAGCAACTAAACAACAAGAATCTATTATTCTTACCACCATTCCTTGACACTTGGGTGATTATGATAACTTTAACCTCTTGACTGGCATCTTAAGTCTTAGAAGGAGAACTGGAACTCCAACGAGGGAGAACATAGAGAAATTTAACCTAATGCATAAATAAGCTGCCTGGTATTCAAAAGCAGCCAAAGTCCAAACAGGTAAGGTATAAGCAGATGCAAAGAAAACACTTGATTATTTGAAAGCTGTATACCCTCCCAAAGAGCTGCACTTCCTTCAGATAGCAAAGTGTGTAAGGCTAGCCATGGAGGTTTCTGAGCATCTGAGAGGGGCATCATAGCAGGAAACTCACTCCCAAAGGGAGCATAGCTGACCATTTTCAGGGACACAGGTGATATTTTGAAAAAACAGGGGCTTCTTTTTCACCCTATACTGTTCCCCTTGCTCCAGCCACATGGGGTTTTTCTCTGCATCAAGGCTCTGGCCATGACTGTCTGCTCCCTGAAGGGGGCAGGGAGGAAACAACACAGAAGTAGATCAGAAAACTCACATAGCATCTTCTCCCTTAAACATGGGCCCCCTGTTAGTGGCACTCCCCTGGTTTCCCTTTCGACCTCTCCTAGCTTAGAGTCAAAAATGCTGCTCTGCTTTATCTCTGTATGTCTTTCCTGTCTCATAATCCTTTCTTGCTCTTCTCATCAGACAGTGTCACTGTCTGGGAAGGAAGAATGAGAGAAGTTACTACTTTATTTATCCTAAGGGTTCTGTTCTGTTTCTTCTGCAATGTCTTTGTCGCCATCTGGCCCTCCCCTCTGAGGGGGCCAAGATAGGGCCATGAGGATAATATAAGATTTTGTTCACTGGTGAGCTTTTGTGGAGAAGTTTATACCCTAAACATCAATAAAATTCCATGCTTATTGAGATAGCAAGGAACTTAACTTTGAAATTTGCTATGTGTACCATCTTATATATTTTCTCAATTTTTAATAAACTTTCCTTCATTTTGTAACATGCCTGTGACTTTAGTTTTTGTTCCATCAACCTAAACTACATTCTATTAATTAACCCTTGAATTAGAGCTTGAATCAGCCATTTTAGAGCCCAGCCCATTTCTAGGCCAATGTGTTTTCTATATTTTGCTGGCTACTAAGTGAAGAATAATCTCACTCTAGCATTACTTGTCTTCCTCCATAATTTAGTCTTATTTCCCAAAGACATCCCACAGTTGCTTCCTTGGGCCTTTGCTCATTCTAGTCCCTTCCTGGACCATCTTTATCCTCTAAACCTCTTCCTTTATCTCCAGCACCCTATTGTTCCCTGTCCAGTCTAATTCTTTAAGAATCCAGAAAAATCTAATCTCTCTGTACTTGAATTACTAATGATAATTGGATTTGTGGCACTTAATTTGTTAACCTCATATTTTACTCATTGACATATTTATTTAGTTCTCAGCTAAATCCTAAGGCCTTTGAGAAAAGTGATTTTTTTCATTTATTTTTCATATCACACAAATCAATTAGTAAGTACTCAGATATTGAATTGAAGTGGAATGTAACTGGCTAGCAACTGGGAAGAATATTAGACTCCTGAATACATTGTAAACTCCAGATGGCTTAAGTACTTAAATGTAAAACTTGAGAATGTAGAAAGAAACTTGTCATTTTTAGGGTATCTGACTAGCAACTGCCCTTTGAAGCTTCTCCCAACTTCCCACTAAAATATCAATGGCATTAAGGTGAAGACTCACAAGCACACTGAAAATAAGACAACCATCCAACCAGCCAAATGCCAGAATATGAGAGGAAATGACACCAGTTATAAGGCAAAGCTGAACTAAGACTTCATTTTAGGAAACAAAGATTGCTTAAAAACCTAGGATCTTCACCAGCTAGAAAATGAGCAGACATCCTTCTTTCCTTACGTTAACAAAAAGGTCAACTGCCTCACACACCCACCCCATCTCTTCTGTAAACTCTGTCCCCACCAGCCTTCTCAATAATATTATCCTACCAATTACTCTTTCTCTTACATACTGTTTCTTCTTTGACTTAGAATGTTTCCACTGACTTATAAACAAGGTCAAGTCACTCATTGAAAGGAACTCCCTAAATCCTTATTCCCTCCCGGTCACAGCCAAACCTTAAAAGAGTTGTTCATCTACAGTGTTTTCATTTCTTCGCCTCCCATTCACTCTTTAACCCAGATCATTCTGACTTTCTGCATCCTCACTCCACCAAGAGTCTGTTTGGATTAGGGCCTATCTTAATAGCCTCACTTTAACTTAATGCCCCTTTAAAGGCACTGTCTACAAATAGTCATATTTTGAGGTACTGGGGATTAAGGCTTCAACATACGAATTTTGAAAGACACAATTCAGCCCAAAACACTCAGCGATTAAGTGTTGGAATTCCTCAAGGCTAATTCCCAGGCCCCACTCTCCTCTTCCCATTCTGAACTCTCTATCAGGGATATTTCATCCACTTTCATCTGTGAGTTAGCCTCTCAGGTCTCCAGCTCAGCTGTTTCCTCTAAATTCCAAGTCTATTATACTCAGCTGCCTACTTGACATCTCTTCTGAATATTTCAAAGGCACCACAAATTTACATACCCCAAGTTGAGTTAATATCAGTCCTTTCCCATTCTTCCAAAGAGATATATCTATTCCGTGTAAGGGTGACCTTTGATATTTCATCCCCCATAAATTCAACCTATCATCAAGATCCTGCAATTTAACTTCCTAAGTATCTATTGAATTCATCCACTTTGCTCCTTCTCCACCATCACCTTAGTGTAAACCATTATACGTCACCTGGACAACCACAAAAGCTTTCTGACTCTGCCCTTGTGTTGACTTTAATTCTCCACTCTGACTGTTCACAGCCAGCATAGTCTTCTCAAAATAAAATCTATCCTTTCATCACTCATCTTGAAACTTACTATGGCTTCTCATTGTTCTTCGGGTAAAACCCCAAATCCTTAATATAACTTAGTATGAATATTATGCATCCATCATTTGCAAGTTCCAAACAATTTGGACTGAAAATAGAGAGGACGTACTAGTTCCTGCCAAAATGTCAAATTAACCTGGGTACCTTCCAGAATCAACCCTGGAGGAACTAAAAATGGAAGCATGGGATCTAAGAACTAACAACATAGACCTGAAAAAATCCCAGCAGTGTGGAAAGTGTTTTGAACTGGTATGTAGGGGTAGTTGATGACTGGCGTGGCTGTGGGAAGCTGTTCAGGAAGAGCTGTTCTAATTGTGCCACCAGCCTACTAATCTGACCTTTCCTTGGGTCCGTTTTTTTCCTGACACCTCTCTGCAGAAATTAGACCCAAGGACCCAGATACCCAACTGGGGTAAAATCAGGGCAGGGCAAAAACCTCTTGGGGCCCACAGACTGGGAATGAACAGCCTTGGGTATCTACTCATCTATCCTTTCCTTTTGAATTCCAGGGCTAGTAGAGAACAATCCTAGGGAGTGCTCCCTCCCCCTAATACTGTTTTTCTATATGGAAGTTCAAAGATGTAGTTCAGATCTAAGGAACTACTAGGTAAAATAAAAAAAATTTTTAAAGCATGACAGTGGATCTGTGATGCCTGAGGCTCTCTGCCCTGGGGCTTACTCCCCTCCTCTCTTAAGGATCTAAACTTCTGGTCTGAGAGCTGGACATCTAGTCTTTTTCACTGCATGTTAACATATAGAGTAGTCAAATATCCCTAGGGGAATATAGCTCATAACTGTATATCTGAGGGTTTAAATAGCCTTAGTGGAAAACATTCATAACATTAAAGGAAATTAGAACAGGGACTTACCTAGTGGTCTAGTGGTCCAGTGGCTAAGACTCTGTGCTCCCAATGCAGGGGGCCCAGGTTTGAGCCCTGGTCCAGGGACTAGATGCCACAACTAAGTTTGCCTGCCACAACTAAAGATTCCACATGCTACAATGAAGATCAAAGATCCTGCATGTTGCCAATAAGACCTGGTGCCACCAAATAAATACTTTAAAAACTATTAGAACAGAAAAACTAAGAATTTATAATAAGTAAAATAGAAATATCAGAGACCTGAAGGAAGATTATCAGCAATATGAAATTGAAATTATATTGAAGTAGTCAAATGAAAATATTACATATGAAAAATAGATGAAAAAAGAACTCAAGATTGGGTAAATAGTGGAATAGAGCAGATGAATGACTTAGAGTTTTTTTAAAAATTAGACAAACAGAGGAATTCTTCCAAAAGGAAATGAAAGAATAAAGAAATGTAAAAATAAAAATAAATGATAGAGACCACTTTCTCATAATCACAGGGAGGAATCAAGATGGCAGAATAGAAAGTTGTAGAGCTCACCTCCTCCCACAAATACATCAAAAAATACAC